TATTACAGGTAATTTCTTCCCTTGCCATTCCAGTTGCAATAGGAGCATAATAATTGCCCATCAACACCAACCAATTTTAGGAAGTTACTACTAGTGCACCAAAATTGGTACAGGACATGAAACCATGTGCTGTCTCTGACCTAAAAGAAAAATTAATGGTGGATCCTCCCTGGTGGCACAACGGTTATATGCACCCTTCTATTAAGCTATCCATAGACACTGCAGCATGAGTTTGATCCCTGGCTGGGGAGGTGACCCACATGCCATAGCAGACCTCTCCTAACCCACCTACTGCTCCCCTCAGCAGTATTTCAGTAGATCTGCCTGTTCTGCTCTCCACTCTGTCTTTGGTGAATCCTCTCAGCCTCTTCACTTCTGTCTTGTACCCCAGTTCTTGTGGGCATAATAAATCTTTAAGGAAAAAAGAAAGAAAAAAATTAATGGAGAAATTAACCAGATTTTTTCTTTTCCTAATTTTTCTCCTCACCAAATAGTGTTATACAGGAGCCTGGTTTCCATTATGGTCTAATTTAGCACATAATACTGACTGACCCCTTCCTATATTGTTTTATTAGCTGCTTTTGTCAGGCTGAAAGCTGATAGCTATCCCTGAGACAGTATATGGAAAGTGTGGGTTAACGGGAGAAGCTTTTGTTTCACCTAATTGCGTGTTTCTATTAATCCTTTATCATCACTACAGACAATGGATTAGATTCACTGAACACTAATTTTCATTGTGAGCTCTGCTGCATCTTGAGTACAAAGTGAATCAGTTTTGCTTTAGATGGCATATTCAAGGTGTATGTGGGGGAGAAATTTTTAGAAAACACAAAATTCTACAGATTGTTATGATACATTATACTCAAACAAGGAAGAATTTGACTACTTTTCCATTGCTTTGTGTGACTTTTGTCAGCAAACACATTTCCAATTGGACTGCTAGGGGATGGTAATAAGGCCTGCTCTCCCAACTCACATATTTAGGAATTCCTTCATTACGTGAGATGCCCCAAAGCTGTTTTCTTAGGGCGTCCATTCTTCAGATTCTCAGGAGCCTTTGTAACAGAAGTGACGAGAGTTTGGAAGAGATGTGCCCACTCTCCCATCCACTGCATCCCAGCTTGCCTTTGAAAAGGAGTAAAATGCCTTTCATTGACCCACTATTGAGACAACGTATTATTGGTTTTTGCTCAGAGATGAAGTTTATAGTGTACCTGAGTTCCTAAAACTTCATTGTTAACCACATACTTCCTTAAATTATGTATTACCTATTGCAGGAAATAGTTACTGCTTTGTAACTTAGAAACTTAACTTGATTTGAACATCAAACATGTCTCAGTTTGTCAGCTAAGAATCTGGGAGCAACTTAGTTTGCTGCTGTCTGGAACTGTTGTCAACTGGCTCTACCAATTGGGACATTCTAGGCATTCTGTAACTCCTCAGTATTCTACCGAAGTTGATTGGGATATGACTTTTAAAAGTGTTCACAATGTTTCTTATAATAGAGAACAGGAAATACATATAGCAGTATCATAACTTGAAAATTCTTGAGTCAGTAGTTTGTTAACCTTAACATACCTTTTTACCCACTCTAAGGATGACAGTTGTTATCCTTTCATGTATCCTTACCCATTTTAAGAATCAGGAGGGATCCAGTTTTTTATGTCTTTTTTTTTCATTTTAAGTAGTATGCACAGTGCTTTGCTCAATTTTTAAAAATTGAGTAGTCCACAAAGTTAAGGTATCTAGACTTTAAAGAATTACTGTGAGTGGAGGCTCATAAAGGTACTAGAAAGTTCTGCCCTTGGGTGTCCCTGTTTCTGAGCAAGCTTACAGGTCCTAGACTGGGATATCTGCATACACCCTGCCCAGTCAGCAAAAGGGTACCTGCTTTCCTTCAGGCAATGGCTAAAAATGACCTATTGTTCAAGGTGAAACTAGTGCCCCAACTAGAGTGGGATGCAAGCAAGGCAGGGAAGAAGATTTTATAAGAAAAATGATTTGCCCCTCCCTCCAAAGTAATTAGCAGTGAAAGATGCTTTTTTTTTTTTAAATATAGCTTTGAGTAATTTGAAAGTAAATTGTCTTGCCTCGTCATTACACTTCAGTTATTTGCCATATTGTCATTTATCCAAAAATACTTTATTTTTGTTTCCCTGTTTTCATTCTTCAATTTCATCCAAGTAACATTTTTTTAACGTCTCACCTGGGAAAACAATAGCTTTACATCTTTCTGGCTACTTTCAGGGACAAGTTTTCTAAAGCAAAGCTTTAACCATGTCATCTTTCTTAAAAAGTTTCTGTGATTCCTTGTTTTCAGGATCTATTGTAATTTTTTTTTTAAAAAGAGTTAGTTATTTATGCATTCAGAACAGGTGTACAGGCCAGAGCCCAGGGGTGGTGAGAGGATTCACCATTGGCAGAGTGGGAAGCAGAAAAGGCCTACTAAGTACACTGCTGAGGGGAACGGGGCGATCAGGAGAGGTCTGCCACGCCTTGTGGGTCACCTCCTGGGTAGGCGGTATAGAACTATGCTGAAGTGGCTTTAGCTTCTCAGTGCTATATGCTTTAACCCACTGCGCCACCAGGTCATCTGTTGTAATTTTTAACATGCCCAGGATCCAAATGCTCAAGACTTTCTTCACAGATTTTTGCTTCCTGAAGTTTTTGAATTTTTCATTAATGGTGTGTGAATTATTCCCAATTAGGGAATTTCCTGGAATTACATATCCTAAAGTCAGGTGAAAGAGGTGTGGGTATCTATCTGAATAAGAAATTACAGGTCAAGAGGATCTGAAAAACAGCCAGTAAATCAGTGAAGCAGAACAGACCTGACAAGCCAAACTTTAAGATCCTACCCCATCGTGGAGGATTTTAGTGTCAGAGGAGTTCCTTTGGAACTAACTCTAAGACCTGAACATTAGTTTAGGAATTTTGCACCTTTTCTATCTGACTCCCTTTCATGGGTTTGAGAAACACTAGACTATAGCTACCTTGAAGCTCAGCAGTTCCTGCTAAGTCAGACTACTCACCTTGTCTCCAATCATGCCAGCCCAGAAGAGTGTTTATGCTTTTGCTTGGGGTGCTCCCTTGATCTGCAGTATTCTCCCTTTACCCCATGTCTGCTGGAGCACTCCCTTCTAAAGCAATACTTGACCAAGAAATGAAAATAAAGTGGCCATGTAGAATTTAATATAATGGGGTCATTGATCTTTGAGAAATTAATGCTTGATACATTTTCTGTTTGATTTCCTTTGGTCACTGCTTCGAACCAAAAGTAAATAGAGCAGATAATCATAAACAGTGTGAGAAGAGTATAAACGTGGGAATCAGATCTGATTACAATCCTACCTTTGAAATTGATATAGGAATTATAATAGTCAAGACATTTAACACACATTTGAAAATATATGAACCTATACTCCTAACATTGAGTGATGAATACCAATATTCCCTCAAAAAAAAAAAATAACCTCTCTGAAGTGTAGTTTTAGTGTAATACTAAATTACTAGAATAATACTACCTATTTTGTAAGAATTTTTATGAACATTTAAGGAGGTTTACTTAAAGAAGCAAGTAGTTGATAAATGTTACCTAAGACAGAGGGAACAAGAAACAAAACAAGTAAAATACATTAAATAAGAGGTTGAATTAAAAAACGTATTTGTAATTTTCTATGTTAGTTACTGTGATGGATACAAAAATGTTACTTCTATTTTTAATGAAGATACAGTTTGAAAATGTGGATTAAGTGATTTTGACAATGCAAGTCAATTAATAAAATCACTATCATTCATAACATTTCTGTTTACAAAGACCTATTAGTCAGCATGGATTGTAGCTTTTCATAACACCATAATATTATAGCAATAAAGCAAAAATATAATTTTACTTACAACCCTGGTCCTCTATAGCATCTATGTTTCCCAAGGATTTTTCATTAAACACCTAATTTTCAGTTATATGGATAGATACATCAACATCTTCCTATACCAACTAGTAGATGCCAATTATTCCTGATTTACTGAAGAGAAAAACAGGTTTAGAAATGCCAGGTGGCAAGGACCAGGACAGGAGTTCACTTTAGAATCACTTAACTTCATCTAAAGCTCTTCACATACCAGTCACAAAGAGGTGATTCCTAGTTTACCACTCCTCTCCCCACCCCTCCCCCGTTTTTATTTTTTATTTAAAGAGTAGGAGTGAAGGGAAAGCTTCAAAATCTTCTATCTCTGAAGTTGTTCCCCTATTTTTACTGTTGGCCTTGTACCTTTGAGGTCCCATCTTAGTTTCATTTAAAATTTTTTATGTTCCTGAAGGGATCCTTTACTGGATGAATAAGTATTGAGCACCACCGTGACACCCAACCATGTGACTGGTACCAGCAGTACAATGGAGAGCTTTTATGAAGCATGAAGCACACATCACATTTATTTATTTGCCTCTCCTGGAAATGGTAACCTTGAAGTTAACCCACTTTTTCAGCACACGTTTGATTTTAACCACCTAAGACAGCAGCCTTGAGCCACCCAAAGACGTCAGTTCCAGGATCCAGGCCAAACCAACCAAAACTCCAGTCCAAATTTTCCGGAAAAAGAATATAAAGGTCAGAAATAGCATTTCCCTAAAACCAACTTCTGTCCAACTTCTGTCCACCCTGCAAGATTCACCGGTAGGTGAGGCCTTGTCAAAATTCAGAGACGCTTTCCCCTTAAGTCATAATTTTTGTTGGTCTATGACCCAGAATTAAAAAAAAAAAAAACAACAAAACTCGGTTGTTAATGACAACGAAACCGGTCTGAAAATTCAGCATGCGCGAACGCCTCTGGTCTAGCCAATGACAGAGCGCGCCGTGCGTAGAGCCGCCCAATGGGGTGCGAGCGGCGCGGTATTTGAATCCTGAACTGCGCGACGACGCCAAGACCACGGCGGTGCTGGCCCGGAGTCAGACCTAACGGCGCCGTAGTAGCTTTTGCCCTCCGGGTCCGGTCCACGTCCCTCTTCGGGCCGGGCAGGCTCCCGCGCCTGCCGCGTCCCTCATGGCGCTGCTCCAACGCCCGACGGTGAGTGGGCCCGGAGACCCCCTAATTCGGACGGGGTGCTTAGGCCGCGCCGCCCCTTTCGCGTCCTAGCGCTTTTCTCGTTTCTTAGAGCTGCTTGGTGCCACCAAGGCTGCTTCTCCCCCGACTCCCCCGCCACCACACCGGCTTCCCCCGCTCCCGGGGCCCTAGGCTGGGCCTCTCCCACAGCCGCCGAGTTTCGGCTCTCGGGTCTGCGGCTTGAGCTCCAAACCTCACCTGTCTGGGGCCGGGGAGGCGTCGGGAAGTTCTTCCAAGGTGGCGCCTGTCAAGCCGGCTTTCAAGCCTGTGCCTACACTCTCCCGCACCCCCAGCCCCTGCGTCGTTCGTGGTCTGAATGCCAGCGCTTGGGGTGGCCTCTTTTTCACACTCCTTGCCAATTAAGGAATCCGTGGTGGGGGTGGGGAGAAGGGACTGGAAGGAATTCTGCAGCCATTATTCTGAATGTTTGATCAAAGAGCCGCAGCTGTTTTTCGGATTTGTTCACACTTGGTTTATATGAGTTTCCCATTTAGTTTGACACGCGGAGTCTTCCAGGTTAAGTTCACTAACGTATGGGTTTGCCCCTTACCTTAATTGTTTACTAGAGACTTTGCACACCATTTTGAGCAATATGGCAGACTGAGAGAATGGTTCAAATTCACTTATTTCATCTTTGCAAAAATCAAACTGTTAGGGTGTTTTGGGTATTTTCGCCCCATCACCCACCCCTCTCCCCCATGGGTTTGAATTTTGTACCTGGATCTGTTTTTCCTTTGTTGACACATAGTGGGCCCTGACACACCTGAACTCTATCCTCCTGTTTAGAAGGCTTGTTGAAGCCAATCTTCCCTTGCAGATTTGCGTGTTGTCGAACTACTGGGTTCCAAATCCTAAGCATTAAACTTGAACTCTACCACTTTTGAAAACTGCAGTTACTGCTGGAAAAATCGAACAGTGTGACTTTTGAGAACCCTAATAAATTGAATGCATTTCTTGTTTAATTCCTATCTGTATGTGGATAAATCAAACTGACAATTTATATCTAGTCTTATTTCATAAATTCTTTGTCAAATTCTTTCTAACCAAGGAAGACTTGAGTTGTTTCTGCCTTTCTATCCAATTAGGGAGAGTTTTTAGGATTAGGACCCCCATGTCTCGGGACTAGGGCATATTGTTTCTTTTTTATGAAATGTTTATCTCTTCTGTAATAAAACATTTTAAATGAATTCTTGTCTTAGCAAATTTTGTTTCTAAGTACATTTATCTAAAGCTAATTTAGGTGAACTAACAACTTTCATTTCATACAATTCCCACCTCTTTATTTAAGAGTAAAACTATTTTACCGAAGAAAATTTCCTTCCTGAGTATTCATATTATAAAAAAGTACATGTCATCTTATTTATGTATTTTTTAAAATTAGATTACAAAAAATTGAAATGGACAAAGCCAGCTTTCTTTTCAGAATTAAAATTCAGAATAAATGGAAAATTTATGAAATTTAACTTCTCAAGTTTGAGGCTCCACAAATAATTCAACCAAGGTTTATACTTTTAACAGCCCTTTTATCTTCATTCCCCAATTATGCCAATATTGTCAGAAGTTACTATTTAGCTTATCTCCTCCACTACTCAGCAAACCACAGGGAGGATCAAATATAACATGACCAGTATAGTCTTTTATTTATTTTTAAAAAGTTCTAGTTAAGGGCCCTCCCTGGTGGTACAGCTGGTTAAAGCACAGCACTAAGAAGCTTAAGCCACTTCCACATGAGTTCGATTCCCTCCTGCCCCGGAGGAGATCCACATAGCCGGGCAGACCTCTCCTGACCCGCCTGCTGCTCCCCTCAGCAGTGTACTTCGTCGATCTGCCTGTTCTGCTCCCCACACTGTCTCTGGTGAATCCTCTCACCCTCCGCATCTCTGGGCTGTACCCCAGTTCTATATGAATAAATAAAAATCTTAAAAAAAAAAAGTTCTAGTTAAAACATGCTTTTTTTTTAGTTTTTGCATACAGAACTGGGCTATAAGCCAGAGGTACAGGGGGGATGAGAAGATTCACCAGAGACAGAATCGGTATCCCAACAGGCAGGCAGATCCAGGAAATACACTGCTTAGAGGAGCAGCAGGACAGACAGGAGATTCTGTGCCATGTGGGTCAGCTCCCTGGCCAGGGATTGAACTCATGATGAAGCGGCCGCAAATAACTTCCTAACACTCTGCTCCAGCCCGTTGTGCCACCAGGAAGGGTCCATGACCAGTATAGTTTTATACAATGATCAAGTGAGGACCACTTGCTCCTTAAATGGACCTGTTACAGGAATCTCATTTTAAAAGAAGGTGTCTCTAAAAGATCACATCTACAGAAGTCCCTCTATAGGACCAAAGTTAGGTTTTAAAGACCTTTTTTCCCCTAATAGTTTATTTTCCCATCATTCTGTGCATTTTCCCATTTCAGTTGTAATCCTTTTGGGCTTCCCATCACCAAATCACCCATGTGCCGTCACCAAAGTCCAGTGCATTTCCCTCCCCCCACTGTTTTTGATCTCATTCCCCACTTCACCCCCATAAAATGTCTCTGGCATATAACTGTTCATTATTATATTTTCTCGCCTCGTCTGTTACACTCCAGCTATGAGTGAAAACATCCCGTATTTTTCCTTTTCTTTCTGGCTTATCTCACTAAGTATGATCCCTTCCAGTTCCATCCATGTTGCTGCAAAAGACATGTGTTTTTTTGTCGTTGTTGTTGCTGAGTAATATTCCATCATGTATATGTACCACATCTTTTTTTTTTTTAAGATTTATTTATTTGTGCTTACAGAACTGGGGTACAGGCCAGAGGCTCAGGGGCGGCGAGAGGCTTCACCAGAGACAGAGTGGGGAGCAGAACAGGCAGATCAGACGAAGTACACTGCTGAGTGGAGCAGCGGGCGGGTCAGGAGAGGTCTGCCGACCCATGTGGTCACCTCTGGGGCAGGCGGGAATCAAACTCATGTGGAAGTGGCTTTAGCTTCTTAGTGCTGTGCTTTAACCCGCTGTGCCACCAGGGAGAGCCTGTACCACATCTTTTTAAACCAGTCATCCATTTTGGGGCGTTTGGGCTGTTTTCCATGTCTTTCCGATTGTGAATAAGGCAGCAGTAAACATGGGAGTGCAGGTATCTTTTTGAATCAGTGTTTTTGTGTCTTTTGGGTAGATAACCTAAGAGTGGGATTGCTGGGTCGTAGGGAAGCTCCATGTTTAGCAGTTTGAGGAACCTCCAAATAGTTTTCCATAGTGGTTGTACTAGTTTGCATTCCCACCAGCACACCAGCAGTGTAGGAGAGTTCCTTTTTCTCCACATCCTCACCAACATTTGTTGTTGCTAGTTGTTTTAGATGTGCCATTCTGGCTGGGTGAGGTGGTATATCATTGTGGTTTTAATTTGCATCTCCCTTATTACGAAGTGATGTTGAACATTTTTGCATATGCTTGTTGGCCATCTGCATTTCCTCTTTGGAGAAGTGTCTTTTTAGCTCTTCTGCCCATTTTTTGATGGGGTTGTTTATTGTTGAGTTTCATCAGTTCTCTGTATATCTTTGTGATCAATCCTTTGTCACATGTTTTGTGTGAGAAAATTTTTTCCCACTTAGTGAGATGTCTACTTGATGTTTTTTAAGTAGCCAGACGTATTTTAGATTTTTAATAGTGTATCTTAATTGCACTTGCTATTCGTTTCTATAAAGGCGCATTTTAAAATAGATGCCTTTAATATACAGTAATCTCTAATGATGTGGGTGTTGGATGTGAATCACTAGTCTGGGAAACTCTTAGTGGATTTTTTTTTTTTTTAAATAAGCTGGATAAGTGGTTTGCCTAATTTAGAATGATGTTATCAATCACAAATAGTGTTTTTAGATTTTCTAAAATCTAAATGTATCCCATCATAGTCCTCTTCCCCGAAGCAATTCTAAATTTGGTATCTGACATTGGGAAAGTATTTTAAGTTGTCTTAACTCCTCATTATTTTTGTTTAGGTTTCCTCCGACTTGGAGAATATTGACACAGGAGTTAATTCTAAAGCAAAGAGTCATGTGACTATCAGGCGGGCAGTTTTAGAAGAAATTGGAAATAGAGTTTCAACAAGAGCAGCACAAGCAGCTAAGGTAACAGCCAGGGGTTGTACATATACATATGGGACTGTTTGTATAAAGCATTGAGGGGCAGCACTGACTGTCTTGCCCTACTAATTTTTTTTTTTCCTTGTAGAAAGCTCAGAACACCAAAGTTCCAGTTCGACCTACCAAAATGACAAATGTCAACAAACAACTGAAACCTACTGCTTCTGTGAAACCAGTACAAGTGGGAATGTTGGCACCAAAGGTAGGAAGTTGTGATTCACAAAATTACTAAATGAAGTAGACTGTTGTGGGCTAGATTGGCAGGGTGCTTTTCATTATCACCACAACTTTTGAAGAACATTCATAATTGGAGCTCTGCTTTGAAACAACAGTGTAGGAAATGAACAACTACACCTTTTTAGTAATGGAATATTTAATTTAATGAATAACTAAGTTAATTACTTAGTACCCAAATACATTTAGTGATCTCAGAGTGAAATTCAGTGGTTATTAGGGGCCCTCTGGTGGCGCATCAGGTTAAAGCACAGCACTGTGAAGCTCCTTGAAGCCACTGCAGCACAAGTTCAATCCCCAGCCAGGGAGTAGACCCACGTGGCGTGGCAGACCTCTCCTGTCCCACCCACTGCACCCCTCAGAGTGTACATCAGTCATTCTGCCTGTTCTGCTCTCCACTGTCTGTAGTGAATCCTCTCGCCACCTTTGCATCTCTGCCCTGTACCCCAGTGCTGTATGTATAAATAAATAAATATTTAAAAACAAACAACAACAAAAAACTATCAGAATGAACTTGTTCATGAAGTCAATGGAAACTCACAATTCTGAGATCCACACTCATGTAAGAATAAGGTAATGCCAAAATTCTGTGTTGATAAATTGTATTCTCTGTGACCGATTAGCTTAACTGGAGTTAGAATGCTAGTGGACTCAGTGGTTTGTTCACCTTCTATTTGTTCAAGTTCATGTATGTTCTCATTCATAAATTGTATACATTGTTATAATTTTATGAGCCAGTCACTGTTGTGGATAGAGTATAATTACCTCACTCTTCCTAGTTAAAAAAAAATTGTATGATTGAAATTTTTGAAATAAAAATTGGACATATTCATTTCTCTATATTTGAGAAAGCCTATACTATACACAGCCAATTGTATTAAAGCTGATAAAGAGCTACCTTGCCATCAGGAGACTTATTTAGAAGAGGAATAAGGACCTGAAAATTAAATTAGTAATCCTAGGAAATGATACCAGATATCCCTGAGCAATTAATGTCAAATAATGGGGTAATATGGAGGGCTGTCCTTCAGAAAGTATGCCTAACAGAGGGAGAGAACAATGCAGAATGAATGGTCAGAGTCAGGGCAACTTTCATGGAATAAGAGGGATTTTTGAAGACTGGGAAAAGCTGTATGAAGGAACATTTTTTTTTTTTTGAAAGATTTATTTATGGTTACAGAATTGGGGTACAGGCCAGAGGTGTGGTGGGTGAGAAGATTCACCAAAGACATAGTGGAGAGCAGAACAGGCAGATGTACTGAAATACACTGCTGAGGGGAGCAGCGGGCAGTCAGGAGAGGTCTGCCATGCCATGTGGGTCTGCTTCCTGACGGGGAATCAAACTCATGCTCTAGTGACTTCAGAGAGCTTCACAGTGCAGTGCTTTGACCCGTTGTGCCACACCCTTTTGCTCCCTTTTGCTGTTCCCTCCCTTATTTTGACCCATCTCCCCCTCCCACTGCAATGCCTCAGATCTATGGTCAACTTGCAAGTTTTGTCTTTTACCTGACACTTTGGTTGTTCCATATTCCTCATATAAGTGAAATCACCCAATATTTATCTTTTTCCTTCTGACTTTTTTTGCTTAGCATAACCCCTGGCATAAAATGGCATGAGTTTATCTTTTTTTGACTGCTGAGTAATATTTGACTGTGTGCATATACCACATCTTTATCCACTCATCTTTTTTGGGGACATTTGAGTTTTTTCCATATGTTAGCTATTATTAGTAGTGCTGCATGTTTCTGAAGGAGCATTTTATTTTAGAGCAAAGCAGGCAGTAGAAATTAAGGAATCCAAGTGGAAATAGAATCATATCCCTTGGGCAAAGAGTCTGCAAGTCAAAACTGGGTTGGAGGCCCTCCCTGGTAGTGAAACGTTAAAGCTCAGTACTGCAAAACTTGCTCCTGCTGCTTCAGCACAAGTTCCATTTCCAGCTGGGTAGCTTACCCACCTGGTGCAGCAGACCTCTCCTGTCTCTACCACTGTTCCCCTCAACAGTGTATTTCATCAGTCTGCCTGTTCTGCTCCCCACTTTGTCTCTGGTGAATTATCTCACTGCCCCTGCACCTCTGGCCTGTACCCTAGTTCTGTATGCATAAATAAATAAATTTTTTTTTAAAGAAAGTTGGATTGGAAAGTTTTTGAGGAAGCAGAAGATAAAGTTGGGAAGATGGAATTGAAGGTCCTGGAATTTGGATTTTATACCATTAGCCAGTGAGGAAAAAAAATTTTAAAAGATTTATTTGTGCATACAATAACTGGGGTATAGGCCAGAGGTATGGAGGGGAAAAGGGTATGAGAGGCTTCACTAGAGACAGTGGGATGCAGAACAGGCAGATTGAGTGAGGTACACTGCTGAGGGGAGCAGTGGGTGAGACAGGAGAGGTCTGCTGCTCCATATGCGTCACCTCCCTGGCCAGGATTGAACTCTTATTTGTAGTGGCTGTGGGTAGCGTCATAGAGCTGTACTTCTTTTTTTTTTTTTTTTTTTTTAAAAGATCTATCGAGATATGAATACATAGCTGGGGTACAGGCCTGAGGTGCAGGGGCAATGGGAGGACTCAACAGAGACAGTGGGGAGCAAAACAGGCAGATTGACAAAATACACTACTGAGAGGAGGATTGGGCAGATCAGGAGAGGTCTGCCTGGCCATGTGGATCACCTCCGGGGCTGGGGATTGAACGCACACTGAAGAGGCTGCAGCTGGCTTGCAGTGCTGGGTTTTATACCCGTTGCACCCCCAGGGAGGCCCCAGGGAGGAAAATTTTGAAGAAAAGTGAAGAAAGCAGTGTGAGGAAAATTTTGAAGAGAAGTGAAGAAAGCAGTGTGAGTAACCATGGAAGGGACATAAATTAGGAAATATTGAATTGCTCAAAGAAGAACTGATGAGGGTCTTGAACTCTTCAGATCTCCCCTAAGCACTCACCCATATACCATTATCTGTGGTAATATACTGTAATATAAGGAAAAACGTCAAATGTGATAGGATATAGCAGAACTCCTCTCAGGAACATTCTTCTGTATTTAGAAGGATATCTGAGGGTATGTTGTTTGGCGTGCAGAAGTAGGAGTCAAAAAAAGAAGGCTAGTTTGAAGAAGGTGGCTCATTCGGCTTTAGTTTTGTTGATGGAACAGAGAGACATCCACTGAGAAAGGAAGTTGGACTTCTGAAGGAGAGGGAGAAGCTTACTAGCCTTCTACATAGAGATGTTGTTTGTAAGCGTGTTATTGTTTATTTGAAAGAAGAGAAAAACTTCAAGAAGAGCTCATGACAAATATTCAAGAATGATCTTTTAGTAGGCCTCTCCTTGGAAGTTTATAGTGACCTCCTAAATGCCAAACCCAAAGGCAACTTTTCAGACTTTATACTCTTTTGACCACTATGCAGCATTTTATATGGGTGAGCATTTGAATGTGCTTCCTCCCACATTTCAGGAGAGCGATTTGGCAGTATATTTGAAATGATTATTCTCCATACCCAGTAAGTCTCTTTTAAAAATTTATGCTAAGAAATTACTAGAGGGAAAGCTGAGAACTTCGAAAAATGCTACAGTGAATATCTCTTATGTGGTAGAGAAATTTTCTATGCTATAGGACAACTTTTAACCATTCAATAAAATGCTGTGCAACCATAAATATGTTTTAGTGGAATACTAAAGATATCAAAGTACATGTTATATTAGTGGAAAAATATGGTTACAACAATATATAGTTAAATTCCACATTTATTTATTTTTTGCCCATTTATTTTTAAATGATGCATTCAATACACAATTTTTTAAAAATTAGTTTTGTGCCTTTTTCCATCTTGGTTGTAATCATGGACTTCCCACCACCAATTCACCCGTGTGCCATCACCATAGTCCTGTGCACCTTTCCATTCCATTTTTGATCCCATTCCCCACTCTGCCCTTGTAAAATGTCTCTGGTATATAGTTATTCGCTGTTCTTCACCCCCGGTCCTTTACGCTCCTGCTATGAATGTTTGAAACCATTCAGTATTTTCCTTTTTCCTTCTGGCTTATTTCACTAAGCATCATCCCTTCCAGTTCCATCCATGTTGCTGCAAAAGGCATGAGTTTATCTTTTTTGATTGCTGAGTAATATTCCATTGTTATACACAAAATATTAACGGCAGTTTTTTTGTATTATGTTGGGCTTCCAATTGGTTTATATTTTTTTCCTTAAAACTTTTAGACTTTAAACCATAGGTTCATATTAATTCTATAATCAGAGGGAAAGAAAAAAAAAAAAAGGATGAGGTGGGGGAAGGGGCTATGAACAAAATAAAGGAGAAATTTCTTTCTGTAACTTCCACAACTCCATTCTTTCTGGGTTCTCGCTATGTTTTACATCCTTGGCTGATATATTTTTTTCTCTAGCTTCCTTACAAATTTGAGGCCATTGTGTTTCAGATAAGGAATCATGAACCTGTAGCTCACTTCATTTAAAAGTCACTTACAAGGGTGAAATGAGCTTGTTTTAAAGATAGCAGGGATTAATGAACAATTATTTCTTATTCAGATACACATTTCAAATACACAAAACTGTATGTAGAAGAAATGGTTAATCCACAATTTGGAAGAAGCCCCATCACCAGGCAGGTGAGCCAGGCTGTCTCCCTGTCTCTGATCAGCCATCTGGCTTTCACTTTATCACTTGTTCTATCTGCAGAGTCATCATTACTCCTTTACAGCCAGTCCTTGGAGGGTATAGAAATGCCAGTTTTGCACAGAGGATTTTAGCAATTCTGGTCCCCGCGGAAAGCTTATCATGTAAACTACACATCTGTGATAGCAGATGTTTCCAGACTTTTGTAACTGAATTCATACTTTCCCCTCTGTAAAACTGGATGGCAGGTCTTTCTTTGTAGGAGATAAGCAACTGAATCACAGCAGGCCTTGACTGAGATCTTGAAAGGGCTCCAGTTATTCACAGGTATTTGCAGAAGCTTATACTGCAGT